GTATCCCGCCATCTCGGCGTTGGAGATTCGATGCTGCTGCTGCTGCTGCACCATGGAGGGAACGGTGTGCGAGGGTGGAGGGTACGCTGACACGGGCGACGTCTCGAAGCTTCCTGAGCCGCTGGGGCCTGACGTTGTGTAGCTTGTGGTCACGTCTGAGATTGGGGAGGGCTGGGACGTCGGGCTACCTGATGACTTTGTCGACGTCGACGCCGTGGAGGATGAGGTGGCGGCAGCGCCTTCTGTACGGTAGGCTAGCACGTTCGTGTTGGCGATAGGTTGACGCGTAGCCGGGTCGGGGAGTCGACGGTCGCCGCCTGCGGGTGGCAAGGAAGCGGCGACACCAGTGAAGGAGAAGTTCTGGCCCTCGCTCTGCTGCTGCACCGCTGCCGCCGCCGCCGCCGCCGCTGTGACGGCTGCTGCGGGCCGGTGAGGAAGCTGCGTGACGGCGCCGGCGTTGCCGCCGTAGGTGTATCCCGCCGCCGCTACGGCGTCCGCCGTGTTGACGTACAAGTCGCTCGCGCTGGGCGCAGCTGTGGCAACCTTTGCGACGGGGTTTACGCGGTAGTAGTAGCTCGTATCTGAGGGCTGCTGGTAAGAGTACGGGTATCCCATGGAGGCCACCGCGGCAGGGCTGTAGTCCACGGCGTCGTCTGAGTAGCCCGGCGTGGCGGACCAGCTCGGCATAGTCGCGGGTGAGGCGTAGTACTTTCCGCCGTAGTAGCTAGCTGATGTTGACGAGTAGCGGGGGAGGCCATCGTGGATGTCGGAGGCGTAGTGGTGAGGCGGGGACGAGTTCAGGGGCGAGGCCATGGCGGTGTGGGCGTATGCTCTGGCGGCTTTGAGGTCGTATGTAAATGTTTGATCTGTAGATACCCAGGGAGCTTCTGTTGAGGCGACCTTTTGGAAGTCGTGTTAGTCTGGGACTTCAAGAGGGCAGGCCGCATCGAGGCCCCCATGGACGTTGATCGACTTACTCGTAAGAACATGCAGGACTCGGCGCCGGCGGCCTTGCAGTTCTGGCATGGGAGCCCGTTGCCAGTGTCTCCGCTACAGCGAATCTTGCGCTTCCGGCAACGGCCACACTGTCAATCTTGTCAGATCTTTCTTTTTTTCCCTTTTCCCAATCTTTATTACATCAAATAACGGCTATGCAAGTTCCCTTGGTTTGTACGGCCTCCAACATTGAAGTCGATCCTTTCGAAGATTGGCTCGTTTTTGATATTGAAACACACGTGAAAGAAAGATACAAACAAGAAGTGTAAAACATATGGAAGCTGATGGGAAAGGGTGGAAGAGCAAAGAAAAAGGATTGGGACTTACAGCGACAGCAATGCGCTTGCGGGGAGGTGTATCAGTGTCAGTCTCTCGTTCGGTCATATTTGATGTCCGCGCTTCAGAAGAATGCGAGTGATGTCGTTGCTGCCGTTCCGGGTAGACATATGTCGGGTCGACGCGGCTATATCGTCTTCCGTCTGGGTAGTATGCCGGGTTGACCATCGTCGTTGTATTCGCACAAATGATTACTTCTTTCTCGGATGATCTTGCTCTAAAGCAAAAGCTTAGAGACGTAGCGAGAAGGTAAGGTAGTGTAATAGACGGTGACGATGACGATGGGGGTGGTGGGCCTCGATCGTGTAGCGATGTCTGGTAGTGTGGGCAAGATTTGGCGCGTCTGTCACAGGAAGCGAGGGGCTGGACTGGGCTTTTTTTTCTGGATTATTTCTTGTTTCGGTGTGTGGTGTCAGTCTTTTCTTTGGAGAGATGTGGGATTGGAGAGATGCTGTGCTTCGCGTTCGTCGATGAGGGGGGTAACAAGCCACTTTGTTTTCGATGCTGCTGATGCTGATGCTGATGCTGTCGTGACCAGGCGTCAAAGTCCTTGTCTTGTTTCAGAGAAGGATGGGGGACGTCGTGCTTTGCTTTTTTTTCCTTCTTCAGCAAGTCTGATCTCCGTCGAGACTGACTGGTATGGGGCCTGGGTGATGTGCGTAGGAGCCAGAGGTAAAGCAAAGGCAAAGAAGAGGAGTAGTAGGATGAGAAAGGAGGAAATAAGAGTTAATTTGCTGGATGGGGGTAGATCTTGTTCTTGTTTTCTCTCTACGCCTCCTTGTAAGACGTACTCTCTTGAAGAAACAGGAAAGTGTTGAGACAAGTCCGCTGATGGAATGCCTTTCCCAAGTGTAGAGATCTAGCAAGGCGAAAAGAAAGGTTCGAGACTTATTCAGTGTTCCACATGGAAGTCCGGAAAAAACAAAATAAGTCAACAAGAGGAGGCAAGGACATGAGCCAGGCCAGCTTAGGAGGGAAGATGGGGAGAAAAGATTGATAAAAACCCCCGGATTAAAAAAGAAAAAATAAATAAGACAACACCGGTGAGAAAACAAGCGTGAAGCAGCTGCAGCCGGCGAGTGTTATACGCATTCTGGTCTTGGAGGACGCATCTTTTGATTCGGCAACGCAGGACAGATAGCTTGGTAGTTCCTGTGTTTGCACCGTGCCTTCAAACTTATCCACACCCTCCGACTGTCTGTCCAAAATACATCCATCAAAGAGACATTTTCCACATCTTGAAGATTCTCTTCACACAGAGCTGATTTCCCATGGATATGAAAGTCAGGTCATTTATTCCGTTCACGCCCCTCCACCCCCCTTCTCTGTCGACGTTGGCGCGTATCCGTTTTCCCCCTCTTCTCTTTCCCCCCATGGAAGCTTGCGGACCACACAGACACGACATCTGTCATCGGACGGGCGAGGGAAGACAAGGCTGCTACGGCATGTTTTTTTGGGGGGGCTCCCTTGAACTAGACCGAAGCAACAGAGAAGCAGATGAAGTGTAGATTTGCCTACATACACAGATGAGAAGAAAAAAGAGACTCATGCGGTGCTGCAGTAGCACCGGTGCCGCGGGAAGCCGCAGAAAGACGTACATTAGAACGGTGGAGAACGAGACGTTCTCACTTCGGCTCTGGCAGTTCAGTGACAAACAAGCATGGCCTACTGGGGTAGGTGGGGGGGATGGGGAGTACCTAGGAAGGTAGAGAGAGAGAGAGAGAAAGAGAGAGCCTTTATGGCCAAAACCCCTCCACTCGTTTCTCCAGTACCTCCTTCATCAATGCAGATTGGGTAGGATTACTTTGGGGCTGGAGGGACGGGACGTGGAAAGCAAACGGAAGAGGGGCGACGACGGCGTAGAGATAGGAGGATGAGGGGCGGACAGGTTGGTCGAGCCAGGGGGGGGGGGGCTACTCCTGCGTTGGAAGATCTTATAGAGCCAGCCGGGAGGGAAGGTCGATCTCATCTTGGGTGTATCTTGGAATTTAATGAGGAGAAAAAAGGGTCTGGGGTCCTCGGGGGCTAGGCCAAGCTGGACCCGAGAACCTCGTTCCATTTGCAGCACATCTCATCGGCAACTTGAGAGGGAAATGAAATGACAGTGTGAGAAAAACGGCCTTAGACCTTTTGAGACTGCATTGGCTTTCTCAGCCGTAAAAGATGACTTGGAAACCCCTGCACATCCAATCGGACTGACGCTTGATATTCGTCTTGCTTGGAGAAGCGAGACTGCTGTTCCTGTATTATCGCCACCATTTCGTATGGAGAGTTCTCATCCTGGGCCTACCGCTGGGAATCGAGACAATAATTTTAGAGGTGATGGGAGTAGGAAAGTATTCCAACACCGTGAGTGCATCCAATCTCTCAGCGTACCTCCCACGCGCGTAATTTCTCTTGCTGAAGAAAAGTGCCGAGTTGTGTGGTAATTGAGACTTGTATAAACGCTCGGTGCAAGTGCGCCCAACGGAGAAGACAACACGTATTGGACGGATGATCACTCCCACGATGATGAGGTACATGTATCATGGGGACGACAGCCAGGCTGTCAGTTTCCCCAAACAACCGCTTTCTCTTCCAAAGATGCAAGATTTCACCAGTCGTCAACAGAAAGAAAGGTGTGGAATACGGGAAGAGGGGGTACAGAAGAATAGAAGTAGTGTCTGTTTTGAGAACTAACATTTCTGAAATGGGAATGGTGTCTTTCCAAAATGACACCGAAGAGACCGACGCGACAAACACTTGCTTACTCGACCTTTGGTCGGGCAAAACGGCCCTCTCGGTCCCACTTGAAGGGTGCAAACCATGGACGCTTGATCGTGTGACCCTGTCACGATAACTAATGGATGGAATGAGCAGAGCCATCATCAGCGAGATTGGGTTGTATCAGGGCAAATCACACTTTTTCCCCGGTTCATGTACACCAAGGCATTATCTTGGGTATGAACATCTAAAAGTACTACAGCAGTAGGAGAGGAAAACACATGAGAGAGAGATACGGCAAGTGATAGGAAGAGAGCGAGAGACAAAATGCACAAAGCTGAAGGTTACGTGACGCAAGCCATCGTCAGTGAATACGCTTGTGGTGGGTGTCGCTGTCTATGTCACACTGCGGAAGCGGCCTTTGCTGCAACAGACACAGTTCAGGATGATAGAACCGAGAGAGCCATATGCACAAAAAACACGAACATCTCTCCAGCCAGAAGACAACGATGATAGGCCCCGGGACGAGCCATCAAGCGGTACTAGAGCTACCGACTGCCACTTAGCGCCCAGTTAAAGTGTGACACCGCCAACTCGCTGAAGAAGAAGAAGAAAAAAAATCCAAGGGAAGAGGGCCAAGAAAGACTCAAAGGCCGAACCTAAAGCAAGAAGAAGAAGAAAAAAGCAAGAAAAGCAGAATAATCAACGGTGTTGCTGCTGCATGCTTCATGCTGCGTGGTGCGTGCAGCGGTTTCGTTCGCCAAACATCTCCCTGGCCGGCCGAGAAAGAATCCTGTAAGAAATGAGCATCTTGGAGAAATGGACCGTGGACCATAGGCCATGCTGCAAAGCCCGTCATCTGCATGCATAATTGCAAGCAACAAACTTGAGCCATCATTTGCCAGCCCGGTACCGGGAGGTTCCGCGAAGAATTTCTATCAGGCAAACCGACACCTCAGCTGGCGAAGAGATACGGCCGGAGGGATGCACAAGAGACGACTCCCTCCGAAATAGCTGGCGGCGATCACGGTGTTTGCCTTACTTCCATTGCAAAGTACTCTTACATGGGCAAACGAGATGCATGAATATGGCCGCCAAAGACGGCCGCCCAAGGCCGCCTCAAGAGGGACCAGGAGGGGCGAAGGGGCGCACACCTAGCTCCGAATTGGGATGTGGGAGCTGCCAAGCAAGCCCATCTGTTGTTGTCGCGCCGTTGTACGGAGTAGCTCTCGATTCTCTTAAGCCAGGCTCGGTGTGCAGTAGCCCCCGTCCCCAAGCCTCGCACTCTTCCTCGTGGCAGATGAGGTGTCTTCCTGCACGTTTTTCGACCCTCGCCCTTCGCTTGTGCTGCAACCTGATCGTCCGCGACTTGGCGACCGGGATTTGGTTGCCCCCCTCCCCTCTCCCCCTCCACAACGTTGCAGTTCCGGCCGCGGCCGCGCCTCTGCTTTTGGATAAAGATAGCGGGAAGAGCTTCGATACACGGCACGCGAGGGAGGGTTGGAGGGAAACAAGGAAGGGACGGAAATAGCAAACGGGCCGCTGAGGCACAGAGCGATGGTGGGATGTGCGCGTGTATGCGTAGTAATGTGTCGGTGTGTGTGGTTCTCCTTTCCCTCCCGCACCTGCTTTGCCGTTGTTGCTTCGCCCGTGGGCGGCCAGCTGGTGATGCATGCCCGTTGACGTGAATCCTGTACGGATAGGTAGGCATCATGTATGCCATGCCTCAGCTTTCTCTTGACGCGATGCACTCTCCTCCGCCCGCTTGCCGCGAAAGGCCTCCGTATTGGAGGACGGTCGGTACCTCAACATCGACGGTGTTGGCGATGAAGGGTTTGAGAGAGGAAGAAGGCTGCAATGCTACGTCGTCCGATATCCCCGTGCATTTGAATCAGGGGTAGATGTCCTGCTGCAGGAGTTTAAGTAACTAAAACTCGCCCGGCGTGGCGTCGTCGTTCCCAATGGCCCTTTAGCAACCAGGAAGCAAAGGATTCTGTCATGGATGCAAAGCCCATGCTCGAAGCCGACGGATCCTATTCTCCATCGTGATCCTAACGTCCGTAATGATGCGTTTCTCAGGGGTGATTTTCGAACCGTGTAAGAAGCTTCTTTTCCTTCTTACCGTTGATTTTGACATGCTGCTGGGACTGGAATCGTGAAGCACAGATTTATCGCCGCAGCAAAGTCTTGTCATGCCATCGTCTCACAGCGTGCAAGGTCAACGAGATGCAAAGTCTCATAATCCAGGCAATACTCGTGTTTCCGCATGAGCTTATTGCCAAAGAAACCCTCACGGTGTTTGAGACATGTCCTCGCCTCGTCGATGACTGTCTGGAAGCGCGCAGGCCTCTCGGGATTACTCTCATCTTGCTCTCATGGAAAAGCCTGCGCCGCAATTCCAAGACAAGAGAAACGAGCTGCCCTCGCTGAAACTCTAGAAGAGCAATTCGTATCGAGAGTCGACTGAGATGTTGTTGGCAGCGTAGCACAGCGTCAAGACTGATATCATGTGCAGCAACAAAAGCCTCGCCCAACAAGGTGAGGCCGTCATGCCGGCGATCAGGCTGTCGTGATGCAGATCCTCTCTTCACCTTTTACCTGTTACCGGGCATCTCTAGTGCGTGCCTGCTTCTGGGACGGGAGGCAGCAAGCAGAACGCACATGGCTCGACGGCTTCGCTGACAACGGAATTTTTTTGCAGCCATCTTCGGGGCGCTGCATCTGTCCTTTGGGGGAGCTGCCAGTCATAGCCAGAACCAGTTTTTTTTCCCTTCCCATCCATATGCGGGCAGCCGTTTGTAACAGGGACACAGAACGTAAGCGATTGGATCGGCTTCCAGGGACACAATGTCATCTGACAGCCCATACTAGGGGGCGGCCACGTCCGGAGCAGATCGATTAAGGTTGTCAGCGATGGAGAGCAGCCACCAGGGCCAGGCACTGAAGGAGGCGAAGGAGGCGCAGGAGAATGAGACGAGACGAGACGAGCCGAGCCGGGCTACCTCCACAATTAACACATTGACGATGGAGAATATCAGATCCGTTGGTTTGGGCCTTTAGAATTTGTTCAAGTGCCGTTTCTCGACGTACTGTGCCAACAACGTTGCCGTTCCGTGGTTTGGCTGCAACGAAATTCTGCTCTGCATTGGGAAAACAATCGGCCTCCTCCGCCTCAACCTCAGCATCATCGACCGACCATTGAGCCCTACGGAGTAGCACAACTGACGAGCTGTGATCTTTATGTCTCGCTCGCACGGAGGCAATGAAAGACGCGGTCGCACAAGATTGGGGAGTTGATGCTTAGCGGCCAGAACGGACAGAAATAACTGCAGCAGCTCTGCAGCGAGACTTGACGTGCTGTCACTCTCGTGATCCTGTGCGACATTAGCAGCTGCTATTACAGGACGCCTTGAAGGGGGAACTTGCGAGGCCCTACACCAGGAGACCGCATCTATTAGACGCCGCGATGAGGTTGCAGGCGGCAGCGGCAACGAGAACGAAATGCGAACGATAAAGGAAATCGGTCAGGTTCGGAAGCAACTTTACGAATTGCCGCGAACTTAAGTCATCAGCTTTCATCCCGAAGGCAACCTCGCTCTAGGATTCTGGATGGTCTTCTTCGTAGAGCTGAACTCTGAGGAATGCGAGGATGTGATCGGAGATTGTCCTGACAGGTCGAAAACGACGTTGCACAATGCCGGCCTCGCACGAGGCGGCTGCGGACTTCATTTGAGATGGCGGTCCATGGTCCATGGTCCATGGTCCGTGGTCCGTCTCTCAATGCCGCTCCGTTGCAGCTTCTCCCATAGCACAGGAACCACCTTGAAGATATGACAACTGACAGATGACAGCTTCATCAAACGCAGCAGGCTGATGCAAGCTCCCCTCGGCAACATCAAGGAGGTGTATCGATCCCCACTTCCGCGGTGCTTCCGGCCGCTTACTTGCATGGCCCCTTGCGAGTGTGGGAAAAAGGGCCCTGATAGCCATGTTTGCAACGACGAAACGATGAGACCAATCCTACTTGGGGCAAGCCGTTCGCCATGTGCGACGTCAAGTTGTAAAGTCAAACCCCACGGCCTTTGCTGTGGCAATCTCTCTCTCTTCCCTCGTTCCCCACATCCGGACTTCCCTGGTCGACGGCGAGATGCGAAGGAGTGGCTTACAAGCAGGGTGCCGCGGTGCATCTCGATAGGTCAACGAGATATTGTTGTTGTTCATGAAACACGAGCCTTACGCGGGCGGCAGAGGCGATAGTGGTGTCAATTTTTTGTATTTCTTGGGGTCTACATCTGTGGCTGACCGGACTGCTGCAAACTGCGGTCTGGCCAACGGCGGCTGGGTATAGTTTTGAATGGGCATTTTCGGAGACGAGAAGAAAATGAGATGCGCGTTCTGCAGTTGTTTCTGCTGCCGCTGCTGCCGTTACTATCTTCGTCTGTCCGAGTCTCGATCCCTACCTCGATGCCGATTATCCCAGTCTCTGCGGTCTCTGCGACCCAAATCCCTATCGTCGCGTCGCCGTTCGTACTGATCGTGCCGTCGTCCGGAACCGCGATCATCGGATCGGTATCGATCTCCATCTCCTCTTCTGTCCCTATCCATGGCCCTTGAGCGTCCGGGGCTTCGACTGCGTCTCCGCACCTGGTCCGATCTGGGTCGATCTCTTTCCCGTTGATCTCTGTCTTGCTCAGGCTGATGCTGCTGCTTATCTGATTCGGGACGTCGGTCTTTAGCGCGCTGGTGGTGGCGACCCTTCATCTCCTCGTCTCCATACACCAGGTCATAATCATCTCCGTTTCGCTCGTATTCGTCACGGTATTGCCGCCTCTTTTCGAGTTCGTCAACGCCTCCGAATCCACCCCTGGACGCGTGTTTTCTACGCTTCTGGTTTGTATCGTCTCTCCAGACCTGTTGCAGCTTGCTCACACTCTGCGAGAAGTCCACGTGGATCCGCCGGTCGTCAATCAGGACATCCTGCATCTTGGCATAGGCAGCCTCGCAAGACGCCTTGTCGGCATATTCGATAAAGGCATACTGAAGACTGTCGCCTGTCTTGGCATCACGAATGACCTCGCAACTCAGAATCTTGCCGAACCGGCCAAAGATGAGCTCCAGATCGGCATCCGTCGTGACGGGGTTGAGCTTGCAGACGAAGAGGACGTTTTCAGGGGGAGCGACCTCGGCAAACGGCAGGTCACCCATCATTTCCAGAGTGAGAGCCTGGGCCCGTGCCTCTCGGTCCCTCCGCCGCTTCTCGATCGCCTCCTCATCCAGATCATCGTCTTCGTGTAGCGCAGCCTCGTCCGCGATCCGGACGGTATCGAGTTGTGACTTGGTCGGAGGAGGTGAGGCGCTGGGCTCTCGCAACTCGGGGGGATCGGGGTACGGGTCATCGAGAACGATGGTGTGCTTGATTCGAATGTCGATGAGGGGGTGCCCCTTGTCGTCTACGATGGCCTCGTTGATCTTCTCCAACACGTCGAAGCCCTCCACGACCTTGCCAAAGACAGCGGCCTTGCCATCCAAGTAGTCCGTCTCATCGCCCAAGGTGATGATGAACTGAGAAGCCGCCACGCGGGTATCCGGGTCGGAATCCAGAGGCGCCGTGGCCATGCTGACGGTGCCTCGCTCAAGATGCTTCAGCTTCGGGTGGAAGAAGGCCGGGAACATCTTCTTGGAGCTGTCGCCCGACAGCAGGCCCCAGATGGAGGTGCCTCCATCGGATTGTTTCGACAAGGGTCCGAGAGGGTCGCCGGTCTGGAAGGAGAAGTTCTTCTGAACAGAGTGGACTGGTGAAAAATTGTAATATTTGACTTTGCAGAGCTTCAGGAAGCTAGGGGTCTTTGGTTAGCTGAGCAAGAGCGTTGTAGTGCTGTCGGGGAGCCGTGACTTACTTTTCGCACAGCTTTGGCGCGTAGTCGACCAGCAGGTCTATCACAATATCGCCAGAGCTGGTTTCCAGAAGCACTGACATGGTGGTAGTAGAAGTGCCCTCTCGATCGCGTCGTCTTTGTTGTCGTCGTCTGTCTAGCTGTCGGCAGGTTTGGCCTGAATGGAGCTTTCCAAAGTGGATTTTTCCCTTGGCGCAGCGAATTGACCAAACACAGACAGATCAGCCAATTCGAATCGTCTCGCTTCGCCAAGAAGAAAACACGAGATGTCCCAAACGCGAAGCTTTCCGCTAGGCTCGGGCGGACGGGCGGGCGTTCGGCAGTGGGGATCACAGCTTCGTGCGTGAGGTGCGTGTTGGCTTTTTGTCCAGCTTGAAAATGATGTTTGCAGTCAAAGTGATGTAGGTGCGGTGCGGGCCCAGTCCGCGAAGTAACGCCAACGGCAGCAGCTCTCGTCACATAGTGCGTGCGTTCAACTTAATCTGCAATTTGCACGGTAAAGAACATCGGCGAATTAGACGAGGGCAGGGACAATGTCACAATGTTCAGAATGTTGTGCGGATTGCGTGCCCCGGTTTTCCGCAGTTTGGGAGCTTTTGGAGCTTGGCCGATTGGGCGTGCGAATAGGCTTTGTGGGAAGTTCTGATGTTTTTGGATTCGCCCGTTTTCTTATTGTTGGCAGCGCAGTAGAGCAATGGTGATCATTTCCACATCATGGAGCTTCCAGAGATAGGGAGTTATTAAGTTATGCTAGGCATGCATCTCCAACTCCGCATGCATCATGGTGATCTCCCGAGTCCCGTCATGCTCAGACCACTTCAACACCACCTCGACACCACCGAGCTATGCTTCCATCACGAGTCTGACCAGGCCAACCCAAACACAGTATCAAATGTCAAGAACAGAGTCAAAGGTATGGTCGAAGATTGGTAATTGGTGTCGTTTCAGTCATTACAAACTCTATGGACCAGATGGTTGTTTGTGTGTGATATTCCTGCAACCACCGATAACAAGAAAATAAAATTAGAAGTAGAAAAAAGGCAGATTGACTGTGGTGTATCCCAATCAGCCTTCGCCAGTAAAACACCAAATATCCGACAGACGAGATGAAATAAGCATCTTCGCCTGTATGCAAACCCAGCTTTTCCCTCTCTGTGATGGGCAAAACGACCCATGTCGTGCCATAATCCATGCCATGCCTGTCCTCGGCAAGATGTTGAAATTCCCACACAAATCCCCTCTCAACGCCATTCGACGAGATAGTTAATCCCCTTGTCAAATCCAAAGCCTCATGAAAAAGAAGAATCCGGTGCATAATTAGGTAGGTTGAAAAAGAGCTAAGACCAAAAGGCTCAAAAAAATGCTGCGCTTTTTGTGTCGATCCGCAAAAGATGAGAGCGTGAGATGCCTCTTGATAGCAGACTCATGGCGCGCTCTTGCGTCGTCGTTCTGAACGGAGTTCCTTTTCCGTGTCCATGAGGCGGCACTGCACCCACATGCGGAACGAGCTATCGCTCCGCACCTGCTCGCAGTTAAGGAGCTCCATCAGAGCCCGCTTCATGCCCTCATTGACGTCGAAGAGGCGCTGCTCTTCCTCGGCGACCGCCCAGATGGTGGTCTCGTCCGCGATGGGCGCGAGTGAACTACTGCGGCGGGCCTTGGGGCTCGATAGTGACGAGCGACGGCTTCGGCTGTGATGCCTCTTACCACTGCTGCCGTTAGGGTACTGGCCAAAGGGCGAGCAGGTGCTACGCGTCGGGGACACAGATGGTGATGAGGAGAGCGAGGTGTTGGAGGTCGTCATGGGGCGGATCGTGTCCAGATGTTGGCGGAGCTCCTCATGTTGAGATTGGAGGACGAGGTATTGCTGAAGAGCAAAGTTGGAGATTTGCTCCTGCGAAGATAGGGTGGTAGCGGCGGCCATTTTTGATGTTGGTGGATATGGTAATGATAGTGTGCAAGTAATGTGTCTTTGGGCTATTGACGAGCCCATCGGAAATATGTGCGTTTGTGGGTGTGGATGAGACGAGTGTATGGGCTTTCTTAAGAACCCAGGCGAGGACGATGTTCGGGAGCGATATCGAAAGGTGCTTGTTTGTGTGAGTGCGTGCGTGCGTGCCTTGATGAGATGCTCTCGTAGTGACGGAGGTGGATAAGTCGATCCGATGTCGTCAATGTGATGTGGTCGGGTGAGCACCGCAATGGTTCTCAACAAGACTTATATAGAGTGTTGACACTGTTGATTTGTTTATGATTCTTCTTTTTGCCTCCTGTTGGTTAGGAACAAAAAGAGGCGTTTGTTCGGGTTGGCGTTATGGCTGGGAGACGGGAAGAGTAGTTGACTCGTGGTTTCGGGTCGATTCGTTCGAGTGCGAGTGAGCAGGTGTCGAGTACTAATACCAAATGAGGTACTTTGAGCCTTCTGCGACTCCTGGAGCTACTGCCCTGTCGACGGTGTCGATCAATGGTGGATCCGGCGTCCTTTGTCTCCTTTCAATCGAACCCCCGTTGGCGTGCGAGAAGAGGAGAAGGCGGGCGGGCGTGCGTTGGAGCTTGCGGGGGTCGCTGGTAAACGGTCTCGAAAAGCCCCTCTCAGCTGTCGGTAATAAATGTGAAAAAGAGGAGTAGACGCAGCAGGACAAGAGGGCGTGGCCGTTGTCGGGCAGATGTTTGGTCAGAGATTGAGGGCCTCTTCTGGGGAAAAGTAGGGGGCAAGGGGGGTGGGAAGGAGGATCAAGTAATATGTATGTAAGGTGTGGTAAGGTGTGCTTGTTTTGTTTCTCTTGCGATAGGCGTGTGAGTGGACGGTGTGGTTTATTATGTGCCTCTCTCCTCCTTTTGCAGTTTGCGGTGTGCACGTCCGATGCAGACTCGATGCAGACAGATGCAGGATAACGCAGCCAGCTAGGCAGCTTCCCCGGTAGTCGAACTTGATGATGGCCTTTCGGTCCTCTTGGTTGTATTTTATTAATAGGCACTTGTGGATGACCCGGAAGTGATAAGCGGAGTCGTGGACGATGCGTAAAGAGGAGAACTCTGGAGACTCTCAGTAAGAATCGCGTTGTCGCCGGTCTCCGATCTCGTCTCGCTGTGTGTGGCCGTGTAATAAGGTATTCCAGGATATGGCAAGACTCAGGTACAGCAATCAAAGCTTGGACTCCCTCGTGGAAATGGCACGTTCAATGGCGCCAAATAAAACTGCAAGCCACAGGGCGTTTAACCACCGGCCGGGATGTGGTTGACAATGTTCAGGTCCCGGTTCAGGTTGTGTGTACACGTCCCACTGCTAATATACAACGTACGGAGTACCCGCGTTGCAGAGAAAAACAGGGTAATAATGGGGGTGGGTAATGAACTTGGTAGTCAAGACCAAGATTCAGGAGTAAAAGAATAATTGAAAAAATAAGACAGAAGATGTGCGCGAGCTTGGTTGCCAAGTGCGTAGGGGAATGGGATGGCGCCGGCCGACAACCGAGAAGGGGTCTGGAAGCTTTTTTGAGAAGCCACGATGCCTTGGATAGACCGGTTCAGGTTTGTCGTCGCAGAGTCAAAGCCCGACCAACTAAAAACTTTGCTAACTTGAAAGTGGTTGGCGGTGTTTCCGTCGTCCGTGACAGAGGGGATCCGAAAACCTTTTTTCGGTTTAGTTACCTCTTTCTCCTCTTGTTGGAGTACTGCGTAGGTAAGTATGCTTTTTGGGGAAAGGGAAGAGACGTAAGTAACCCCTGGACAGACAACTTTTTGGTTGTGTTGGGTGTGTGTGTGTCTCGCGGTGATGTGTGCGTCTGTCTCTGCCTCTGATTTGTGCAGGGTGATAATGATACTGATAATGAGGGGAGCCCGACTACCTAATAATGGCGGCCGATAGCGTAAGACGAGATGGGACGGGGGTATGGATGTCTGGGAAATGGGTGTGGAGGGAGATACTCTCCACAGCCCCTGGTCCAATTAATAGACCCGGTCCAGCCCGGATGTGATGCTGAACAAGGTGGGAACAACAGCGTAATACGAAGAGGCACCGCTGGGAGCGAAAAGTGAGTGACAAGTTGCGTGCTGGCTGCGTCAAAAGTCGTAGACGCTGCCACCGGTCGGTCAGTCAGTCCAGTCCCAGGCTCGGAGGAGAGGGTGGAGGCCGGTTCGCTGTCGGTGGTGCAATAAACCTGTTCAATGTTGCGCTATTCCGACAAGAATAAGAACGGCCACAGCGTGCGTCTGGTTCATGCAGCTCAGGGGCGAGAAACGCCGCGACTAGTTGGTCCACGTTGTGGCTAGGCCTCGTTCTGTTTTCCGTAGCGCAGCCCGCCGGAGACGATAGCGCTATCTTTGGGTTGTTCGTTTTGCTGGTTGTTGGCGCCCTGGTACAAGTTTCCTACCCAAAGGGGCGACGTGATGATAATACGCAGGGTCGTGTCGGCGTGGCGCTGCTAGTGCCGACTTGGGAAGATTGTGATACCGACGATGCGGTCGGGAGAGGCGATAACAGACTTTGCTGATTAGGTGTGAGAACCCCTGGAAGCGAAATCGACCTCAGCTGGCCGCTCGTGTGTTCGCTGGCAATGTGGTTGCCGTCTCGATGATGTGATGCCAGAAAGTCTCTGACAAACGGTAACCGGGTTCCTTTCAGCTCTTGCCCGCGGCTGTCGGAGACTAGAAGGTCCACGAAGCTGAGCTGATGATTGTGTTGTTTATGATGTTGCTGATGCTGCGCAGGCTGGTGGCTATGCGTCCTCGTGTCTGCGGAGACGGCCTCTTGTTCTCGTGATTGTCGTTGTTGATGCAGTAATTGTGGTCCGTGTTCAAGTTTTTGCTGGTTCTCCGAGGTTTGATCGGGGGTAATCCAGGTTATATCACAGTGATACATAGCAATGCAGGGAAGACTGGTGATAATCAACAATGTCTCGTCGAGGTCTGGTATAGATGACTTGAATGTGAACTCTGTCTCGAGAGGGGGCTTTTTGACGCTGATGAGGCTGGTGGCATTATGTATGTAACTCTGAATCTCATCCCTCACGAAATGATTCTGAGCACAAGTGACGTACATGCCTAAGAAAAGCCCATGTGGCTCAACACCACTTGGGGTCTCACATAGGTACGGATATCGATCCCACGTTTTCCAGCCTGCTTTTATCCCGATGAGGTATTCGTCGGGCAATTTCTTTTTCTGTTGTTTCTTTGGTGGCCCCAGGCTATTTTCCCATGGCCCATGGGCCCGCTAGCACTGGCCTTGAAGGGAAGCTCCCCGGCCGGCACACGTTTCCGAACAGACGTAGTGTGGCCAATGCTGGAAGGTGTTAGGTCTTCCCGCAAACGCAAGGGTAGGATCCGGTTTCTTGCTCTCATTTCAGATGAAAGCTCACAATTCGTGTTGCGGGAGATCCCTTGAGCGGAACGCCTTGGATCAGCCATCTGGTTGGTCTATGATCTCGAATGCAGCCCAGGGTCGAGACGGGCGGGAAATATGACGGACCCCAAGAAAAACGGCTGAACGGTGAGCGACTGAAAGGTGTACACACCGCGTGGCTCGGGGGCGATAAGATACTTCGGTCCTGAACTTCTGACAGGCCGGAGAAAACCAACCTCGTGTGTAGGTGCATGGGATGGGCACCATGGGGTCGTGGTGGTTGAACACCAAGGTTGAAAGTGGGTATGCAACCGGACATACGTCCGGAGAGAACTTCACCTTCTCAGTTCGGTTTACTGGCGCCTGTATACTAGCTCGACCAAATCTTGGGGGTTGCTCCATCGTCAAATGATCGGTCGTCGCCAGATAGCTCTGACAGTCCAGGCTTTGCGATCGACGGACAGCGTACGCAACCTAACCGCAACCACAAGACCAGGAGCTTGGAGGTACGGGGTTTGTACCTTGCAGAGAAGGCGGCTTTCGGGTCCCAACAGAAAGAATAGCGGCTGGCGGTCGATCCAAGCATGCTTTGACAAGTCGCGGACCACACCCTCCTGGGTCCTAACACACAATCAACTGACCGACCTTTTCTCGTAGGGCCAACGCCGGCCCTTTCGAGCCGAGACATTTTGATGCTCATCCTCGGCGGATGCGATGACTTCATAGCCTCGTTTCAACGGCTTCACTGTGCCCTGCTTGTCTCCGCATTTCTTCGTTCTCGCTTCTCTGTATTGCTCTCAGTCCCCAGGAGTCCATGCTCACTCTCCATTCTCTGAATGACTTGCAAGTCGGGAAATCGTCGAGGGCCAGACCAGAGTCTCGGTGTATTGGCAATACGCTTATGCTCTGGAAAATGCCAGTCCGCCCAATCATCAAGCTCCCCAAGACTTTTGGCACTTTGGCCGATGTGCAGGGGTCGGCTCCTTGGTGCGAGCCACACGACCAAGCCAAACGTCACTGTGACTGAGCTTGCTTGCGTGGTGTTTGCCGTACTTTATTTTCTGATCGTATTTTCAGCCACATCTCTGGGAATCGACAAGATGACGTCCAGCTGTTCCATTCCAAAGTCGTTTCGTGGTCCACGAACAAGCCGGAGCGTCATGTCCGTTCCCGGTTGCCAGCGAAGCGCCTGAGCCTTACGTAAAGTTCATTCCTATGTACTCAACAAAGCTTTCCACGTCGAACTAAGTTTCTGGGGTGCAGACCGAGGGTGACCATCGAGCAAGGTGACCCCTCATCTCTGAACGCATCCGGTGCCTTCGAACTCTCTCGGCGTCCTGAGACTGTCGGGGCATCAGACCATTCCTTCTTGGATCCAGAATGCGGGGAAGCTTGCACTGGGGTGTGCATGAGGTTGACAGGCGATAACATGATAATGGACTGGTCCCGGGATTCCCACTGAATTTTGTTCATGGTGGCATGATGATTGTAAACCTTGGAGTGCATCTTCATAGTTGTGACTTCGGTCGAAGCCGTGACCTGACTCCAGTTCCGAATCTTCATCGTTTGTCCGGAGGACGAGTGCTATTCGCTATTGGAGGCGCCCCATCCAAGGTCAACTCACCAATTTCCCCTCCGCAGTATCTGCAGATCCTGAGTTTTCGGGAGGCTTGCTGTCAGTGAGACGACGAATCGCCTTTCCGGAGCACGGCTTGGACCCTGATTTTGTTTGTAACTTGCGTTGTAACTACGCAAGTCATCGCAGACCCTTGTTGGCCCTCCCTACAAGCTGCGTGGTGGAATGCAACCCCGAAGTATCCGCGAGCTATCTCTGCCCATGAACTCTCCTGATTGTTTACGAGTATTTGCTGCACCTTACACGACGGCCTGCTTGTCATAATGCCGCTCACTAAGCAACACGGTAAGTGGTAACATGCGAAGGCAAACTCGCTCCAAAAATGTCATGGTGCTCTGGACTTCGTGTTATACCAGAATGCGCGCGTGCCTTCTCGTGTTCGACAAAGCCCGTATACAAATCTACGGGATTCAGTTTGATGTGTAAGTATTTGTTTCATGATCAATGGCAGAAGCTGATAGAAATGCGTGGTGATCATCCAAGATATCACGCCTTGCCTGACGTGTCGCCTCACCACAGCGCCCTAGCGGTTGGCGGTGCTGAGAGTCGGCAAATCCGAATAGGTACACTGTCGTTATAGAATGGCCCATTTTGCTTTTCCCTCGGTGGTATAGGAAAGTCGATGTAGCTCAAGCCCATATCGCGCTGACGGCAACGGTTGCAAAAGGCCTCGAACGTGACCTCGTTCCGCTGCGTCGCGGATATCAAAACCTGCACAGCAGGAAATAAGGCAAATAGTTCCTCGACGGTCGCGATAAGAGCCGGGATGATGCTCTGGTCATAGGTGATATCTGCTCCGATTACAACGTCAACGCTCTCGCCGTTGTTCCACTTCTGGTCCTCTGTCCCTATGAGAGCATGCCCCCATCGCAATTCCATTGGCCTGACGAGGGTACTTTCTTGGAGTTCGTTGAGGAAAAAGCTCTCCGGTAGGTTGTTGATCACATCATCAGACCCATCGGAAGCTACGACGTGCGCGGCGCCGAGATGTTTGACGCAGAGGATCGCCAGGTATCCAGTACCTGCTCCAAGTTCGAGGACTCGCTTTCCCTTGACGAGATTTGGGTCTTCGCAAAGGAACTGTCCGAGATGCAGCGCGGCTTCCCAAGTTCGGAGACCCGTGGTGCCAGAGGCAGAGATCAGCGAGCGGGCCTCAAGCAGTGTGATGTCAGGAGGAGGCGAATGCTGTGGCCGGGGGCTCTGCTCAAGACCACTCAGGTGATACGTGACGTATGATTTCTGCTGAGCAGAGGACACCTCGGACGGGACTGGAGTTGCGAGAGATTCGGACAAGGCCGTTATGAGATCCTCGGAAACTTCCTGATCATCGTTAGAAAATGCCTGGTAGCTGACAGCAGAAAGTCATGCCACGGCGCCGTATTCAGAAGCTTAGGACTCACATGTTGGTCCCAGTCTTCGATACTAGACTCTATCCTAGCGACCAGTTCCTTTAGAACCCGGAGACGATATCTTGCAGGAGGGCTATAACGTGGTGCTTCGTCCGAGAAGAGTTTCTTGTAAATGGTACCCTGGGCGGATGGTTCACGAATGATCTGCCCGGTAGGATACTCAAGTATTGGCTCGAGTTGGAGATACTGGTAGCAGAAGCGGTCGACGGACTCTGATGCGAATTGGGTTCCGGCCATGATAGGTTTTGATGATGTGAAACTCTGCTAAATATCGTATGTTGCCCGATTCGGTATAGTTGAGAGCCTCAGTTCTGATCAATAGTCCAATTTCTCTTTCACGGAGAGAAATGTTCCTCGGGGTACCATAAGAGTGATTCTCCAGAAAGACTAATCACCGAGTACAAAGAGTCCTACGGAGTCTCTCAGGAAGATTTCAGAGACATGAGATCTTGAAAAGATCGTGGGAACCGTAGCTTGAAGTTGGAAATGCTTTCGGTCTTTGGTTTGGAGTGCACAAATTGCACAACGATTGGATGCTGACTCAGAGGACCATTGACCACGGTGCAAACACCGTGCCCAGGAAGCCAAACATCACATGACCAATTCCAAAAAAACATACTGGCCCGTGCATCCACTGACCCCACGTGACTTTCCATTTTTCGACCCAGGGAGGTGCGGCGGATCCTGAGGCACTTTCTAGGGCTTGCCCACCCATTAAGCGACACCAATCCCCGCCCAGGAAAATTCACGTCTGTAGCCCCGTCACAAACCTCTCGAATTTGACGATATCACACCTTTCGACTCTTCTGTCTCAGCGCCAACCCATCTCGACAGACAGATCAGCCCCCCGACCGACAAGATGGCGGACGTCGACACCCCCGTCACCCTGCGAACTCGCAAGTTCATCCGTAACCCCCTGCTTGGCCGTAAGCAGATGGTCGTGTGAGTTTGCCCCTCCAGATTTATCATTTTTTCCCCGAGAGAGAATCGCGCGCGCACGAAGAGGATATATCGAATGGGAGGAGGAGAGGAGGAACAACAGCAATCGACACTACGGTACACCGACAACGACTGAATCGAAACTCGGATTGGGAAACGGACGGACGCGCGCGCGATGGATGGAACCGATGGGACATTTTTCAAATGGGCGTATCGAGAGAGAGGAACTGCATGCTGACGGTTTTCTCAAAGTGATATCCTCCACCCCGGCCGCGCCAACATCTCCAAGGATGAGCTCCGCGAGAAGCTCGGCTCCTTGTACAAGGCCACCAAGGACCAGATCAACGTCTTCGGTCTCCGCACCCAGTTCGGTGGCGGCAAGACCACTGGTTTCGCCCTCGTCTACGACTCCCCCGAGGCCATGAAGAAGTTCGAGCCCCACTACAGACTGGTCCGCGTTGGCTTCGCCAGCAAGATCGAGAAGGCCAGCAGACAGCAGCGTACGTCGAGCCTCCAGTCAGCACTTTGCCACCGCAGCGTTATCATATCGTTGGGTCTAGGGACAACCCTCTGGTCACCTGTCCCGAACCATTTTCGTGATACATGTCGCGGTGGCAAATCTGATCACAACTTCCCACATCAAGCACTGATAACTAACACTACTCGCGCTCCACAGGCAAGCAGCGCAAGAACCGCCAGAAGACCCTGCGCGGAACGGCGAAGGTCAAGGGTGCCAAGAAGAAGAAGGAATAAGCGGTTCGCCCTTGTTGCCTGGGGTCAGGCCAACAAAACGAGGGGAATTCCCCGGATCATCCGCAAGAGACCGTGGGGCGGCGTTGGTGGAACAATCAAAAAAGAACAATTCAAAATGTCGTCTTGGGCCAATGTGGTTGTTTCTTCTTCCGCTGGGGGGGATGTCCTTTCATTTTTTCCGAAATGGGGAGTTTGTTCCAACTCTGGCTGTGTGCATCTTATTCGATGAAACAAATGCGGCTTTTGCATCATCCCCATGCGTTGGTCCGGCTGGGTTTATGCCGGCCACGCAAAAACAACTAGAGTCTACGCGGCGTGATACGGGGGAATGGGTTCATGATTCTCTCAAATATGAAATGCATCAAAAACACGTATCCCGATGGTCCCCCCTACTTTCAGTCCATGACGTTACCACTTGCGGGGTGAGTGTCTTTGTTCGTCTGAGTGTCACTGCGACTTCCATCGTCCTCCGCCAGTAGCCATACTTCATGAACGTTCGGGTTGATCAATCTGGAGGTGCGTAGCAGTTATCACGACCCCCATCCGACGTGGATATGCTCTATCCAGACACTCTTCTTCCTTGGTCCACGATATTGCCATTTGCGGGGTGGCTATCTCTCCCCGTCTGATCTGCCATGAAGCCCATTACTTCTGCCTGCAGCGGCTCTTTGGCGGCTAAGGTCCTTCATCGGTGATATCCAGTTGCCTGGTAGCCTCACCCACGTTCCTCTTAATCGATGCTCGTACAGGGAAGTGGAGAAAGTTTCTGACCAGACTGTCACCACGAACACCTTGACTAGGGCCACGAACACATGACGGTTCCATGCCCAGTATGCTACTATACACATGTTTACCTTTGACTACTATTTCAAAAATACCTTTTTCGATAATAGAGGTCTATTGGTGGCGTTGTATTTTATCCAAGATCTTTCTCGCCAACAGAACTCCCCATTCATATTTCTATCTACATATTCCCAGCTGTCGACAAGGAACAATTCTCGAAATCTCGAAGTATTCCGCATCCAGCACTTTATCGAAATTCAAGCTCAAAGGTCGATAGTCCCAGATCGATGCCATCCACACCCACTACGCTTTCCTTCATCGTAGTCCGCCTGTGAATCCGCAGTGAGGCGGCTTCTCCGCCTTTGACTTCCCAGAGTCAAGTTCACCCTACCCAGGCAGAAGTGTTTAGATATAGCCATTCGTCATCCCTATGGCTAGCCGTGATGGATGAAGGAGATTGAAGCTACATAAATTACAGAGATTCTTATTCTCATCCTTGAGTTCAAGGTACTCCTCAGCTGTCAATTCAATGTTCGCGCGGACCAACGGGATATATCAAACGATATCTAAGTGACGACTGTAAATCATGGTCGATATTGTATAGAAGAAATAGTAGTCGGGGGCTTCGTTTCGATAACCACTTTACCAGTTCTATGAATCTCAATCTCTTCCTCTCCTCACCATGGCATATACCATCGACGCCGTTCCCATATTCAACTTGTAGTCTATCCAGCGGTACAACTGTCGACCTTTATTCCCAAATCTCCAGTTGCAGTAACATCAGATTTCATCTAGAAGCCACCGGAAAGCAGACAAAAAGATTCCCGCCCATTCTCCATGTTCAACGCTCTGGAATTATTTCTTCTATCAAACGTGTAACGGTGGTATTCATGCAAATTCCATCCCCCAAAAACCCCAATCTCAAATCTCAAAGCATCCCCAGAACGCCATTGACCGCTGTCTATATCTTTATATGACACCGATTGAAACGCCATACAATGCCAATACCTGTGTCCATACGACAATCACTCCCATCATCCTCCCTACAAACACACCAAGACCAAGACAACAAAACACCTTCAAATCTCCCTCAACTTCTTTGTAGGCCTAGCAAGCGAATCATCAGGCAACCCACTCCTCTTGGTGCCAGGCAAACTACTCGTCCGGATATCATTATCATCCTGACTGACCCTTCGATGCGGGTACTCATTCTTCAACCCCTCAAAACAGTGCGCATTCAACCGATCACCCGTCGAAAAGAACGGGTGCTGCAGCGCCTTGGCCGCAGTCAACCTCTCCACGGGGTCGTACTCCAACAAGCTCGCGAGTAACTTATACCCCTCGGCTCCCAAGCTCGCCAGAGGTGCGCCTCCCCCGTTTCCACCTTGCGGCGCCGACGTCGCGCTGCTCGAGGCCCCCTGCGAAATGGTACTGTAGTACCACTTCTCCAAGTTCGAGCCGCTCGGCGCGGGCGGGTGGTGGCCGTACCCGTGTCCGCGGTGGTGACCGTGGTGACCGTGGTGATGCGGCGTCATGGGCGGCTGCAGCGTCGCCAGCTGCGGGTACTCTGGCATGGCGGACAGCAGCGGCCAGCGCTCCTTGGACGGCAGACCCATGATGTCGACAATCTTCTGCATCTGGTTCCTCTGGAAGGGCACCGTCTTCTTGCTGTCCATCTTGGCCTCCTCGCCCTTGAAGATGGGGCGCAACGAAAGCAGCTCCGCAAAGATGCAGCCGACGGCCCACATGTCGATGGCGGGGGTGTAGTGACGACTCCCGAGTATAAGCTCCGGCGCGCGGTACCAGATCGTCACGACAACCTTATCGCCGCTGAAGAGGGAGTGCAGGGGCTTGTCGAAGCGGCGGGCCAGGCCTAAATCGCCAATCTTGACTTCCCCGGCTGAGGTGACCATGATGTTGGCGGGCTTGAGATCGCGGTGCAGGACCCAGTTGGCGTGTAGGTACTGACAACCGTTGAGAAGCTGGAACATGATGCTCTTGACCGTCTGTGGCGGGATGGGATGGCGAGGGTTTTGCGTGTGGTGGTGAATGATCTGCAACAAATCGTGCTCGGCATACTCAAAGACCATAAAGATGCACTTGTCTTCCAGTATGATCTCGATGAGCTTGATGACGTTGGCGTGCTTCAGCTCACTGCACAAAGACATCTCGCGGATGGCGGACTGAGAAATGCCCGTATACGAAATCTGTTCACCCTCCTTGTCGGGCTTGAACTTCTTGATGGCAAACTCGCCGGTTTGGCCCTGGCGGCCAAGGGCCTTGTAGACGCGGCCATAGGTTCCGGAGCTAATGAATCCGACGACCTTGTATCGCTCGATAACCCGGACCTTGGGCTGATAATTGATGTGGCCGAGGCCGCGGTCCGCTGGGTCTGTGAGAAATGTGTCAGTGGGGTTGAAAGTGAGTGAGAACCAGAAGCAGAGATGAAATGGGGAGAGGATGCCAAATACAAGAGCTATGACTGTGCAGGCCGCCGTAGCCTATTCCCCTCCACATGTTTAGGAAAAAAATGGGTGATTGTGTGAAAGGTCCTTTGTTGTGGAAAAAAGGAAATGAGACGGGCGATGCGAGCGACGAGAGGATTTAGGGAGTAAACACAATATGCACTCGCTCTACAGACAACACATGTCTCTTGATCCTGAATACACCAGGAGGGATGGAATCTCAGGTGAGGCTTTCGGGAAGCAGCAACACACGTGGTGACAATGGCCACGGAAGAACGCCTCCAAAAACAGGCAAAGCTCACCGCCGATCCAAGAGCAGCAGGTTCAGGCTTCGGGGTCTGGGTCTGGGGCTGACTGCGGCAGGCAATAGGCAGTGTGGGCTGGAGTTC